GGAGGAGGAGGAGGAGGATGGGGGGCGAGGGGGAGGGAGGAGGAGGAGGAGGAGGAGGAGGAGGAGGAGGAGAAAGTAAAACTTGAGGGAGGCACGCCCCAAAGGCCGAGGCCACGCAGATCAACACCGCCCTCACCGAGGGCAAGAAATTCATCGGGGTCGTGAGCGCTTGCGCGCTGATCTTGGAGAAGCTGCCCGCCACGCCGGCCTCCGAACGGGCGCTGGTTGTTCGGGGCTTTCGTCGCGTTTCCAGTCCCGGCCGATTCGTCATTTGGCGGCGGCGCGCCGATGGGGGGCGGGGGGGTAGGTTTCTTAGAAGGCAGAGTGCTTCTTAAAAGCCCTCCGAGGGCTTCTTAGAAGCCCCTGGGGGCTTCGAAGAAGCACCCCTCCTTCTGATGCGCCCGCTCCCTCCCCTATGCCCCCATCTGCGCGCCGCCGAATTGGATCGGTCGCTACTGGAGGCGGTGGGAGGTGGAGGTGGAGGGGGAAGGGGGGGGGGAGGAGGAGGAGGAAGAGAAGGAGAAGGATGAGGAGGAGGAGGAGGAGGAGGAGGAGGAGGAGGAGGAGGAGAAGGGGGAGGGAAGGGGGGAAGGAGGAGGAGGAGGAGGAGGAGGAGGAGGAGGAGGAGGAGGAGGAGGAGGAGGGGGGGGAGGAGGCGGAGGAGGAAGAGGAGGAGGGGGAGGGAGGGAGGAGGAGGAGGAGGAGGAGGAGGAGGAGGAGGAGGAGGAGGAGGAGGATGGCCCTCTGCATCCTCGCCGTGCTTACCCCCTTCCTCTAGCTGCCGCTGCCAACTCGACTTCGCCCCTCCCGGAGGGGCGAAGTCGAGTTGGCAGCGCTTGCGCGGGCCCGGCGGGCCCCATCTAGACCATCAAGAACTACTTGGCGAAGGCTAGGACGTCCGACGGGCTGCCGCCGCAGAACCTGGTGGACTGGCTGGAGGGGGAGGCCAAGAAGGCGGCGGCACCGAAGGCGAAGCCGAAGAAGCAGGCCCGGGCCGGGGGCGCGGCCGACGGCGAGCAGCAGATCGACTAGCGCGCCAGCGCGCCGTCGGCGTCGGGCGATCGGGGCGGCCGCGGCCCGCGGCCCGCGGCCCGCGGCCCAGATCTGGGATTTTTTCCCCGCTGCCGCGGGGGCGGCACGTGAAAAGGGTGAAAAAGGTAGCGGCTCACGTGGATGCGCTTCTGGAGATGCGAGCGGATTCCTTGGGTCCGCGCTGGGCGCTGGACCCCCGCCCCCAGCGGCACTTCCGGCGCCGCGCCCGGCGCGCCCCGCGCGCCGGGGAGGGGGGGGGGGCCAGCGACGGCGATCGGCGATCCAAGAAGTCCGCGCGGATCTCCGAAAGTATACTCTGGATGTGATAATAATCGCCCCCGCCCCCCGTTCTTGGGGCCCAGGGCCCAGGGGGGGGGGGCGCGAGATGTCGGAACCAGCGGAGGGCGGGGGGGGGGGTGGAGGAGGAGGAGGAGTAGGGGGAGTAGGCGGAGGAGGAGGAGGAGGAGGAGGAGGAGGAGGAGGATGGGGGGGATGGGCAGGCCCCGTCGGAAGGTCAATCGCCCCCCCTTCGATTATTACGTCATTCGGAGTATGCAAAAGCTGCGTGTGCGCTGGCATTTGGCCGGGAAGTCGAGCCCGGCGAAAGGGTAGAATTGGGATAGGGGAGATTACGGAATCAGCTGCATGCAGCTGGTTTCGGCCCCGCCGCCCGGCTCATTCCTCGATGCGTGGGCGGCGCCTCCCGGCGCCTGGGGGCGCCGGGGAAATCAGCGACGTGAGCTGATGATTTGCTCTCCCATACCCTATGCTATTCTACCTTTTCCCAATTAGGATGGGGCCGATGGGGGAGGAGGTGGAGGCGGAGGAGGAGGAGGGGGGGGGGGGCGAGGAGGAGGGGGGGAGGAGGAGGAGGAGGAGGAGGAGGAGGGCGAGGACGAGGAGGATTAGGCCGCTGGCACTAGGCTCAGAACCACAGGCATTAAGCATTAAGCGCTAGGATTAAGCTGTGAGCGCTAGGATTCGGCTCTTAACACTTGGCGTTCAACCTTAGGCACGAGGCCCAGAACAATAGGCTTCGTGCGGCAGGCCCTGGGCTTCAAGCCCGCGGCCCTGAACCCAGCCGAGGCTCGGCCCTCGGTGAGATGTTTGTGGCGCCCCTTGAGCCTTAGCCCCAGGCCTCTATGCCCTTGATCCCTAGCTCCTGGACCCTCTCGCCTTCTCTTTAGATCCCTTCCCCCAACTCGCGGGTGCGAGGCCCCCAAGGAGCTCATCTCCTGGACCCCTCTCGCCTTCTCCTTGGGCCCCCCACCCCCAACTCGCTGGCGCGGGGGCCCCCAGGGAGCTCATCTCCTGGACCCCTCTCGCCGTCCCCTTTGGATCCCACCCCCCAACTCGCGGGCGCGACGCCTCCCTCCTTGTTACGTTTGAAAGGACATGCCAACCGGGAGCGCTCAACGCTCCCACACCAAAAATCAATGGACGCCCTGGGGTCTCAGGGTTGGGTTTCTTGTGACAGGTTTCTCGTGGTCGGGCCCCTACTGTATCCCCCCAGCCCGAAATGCGGGTCCTCGGGTTGGGCTGGGGTGGTCGTCAGCCCAGGGCCTGCGGAGTCGGCTCCGCGGGCCCTCGCGGCCTGGCCTCCACGGCCGCGAAGCGAAGCCCACGGGTGCGGGGCGGCGGTGCGCGGATTCCCCGCGCGGAGCGCATCGATGGGATAGCACGTGCCCGTGGGCTCGCCCCTCGGTGTCCAGACAGCGGTGGCATGGATGTGGCCGTGTTCGTCTCGCGTGATGGGCCAAATTTTCCACCACCACCACCACCATAGGTAGGGGAGAGGGAGGAGGAGGAGGAGGAGGAGGAGGAGGAGGAGGAGGAGGAGGAGCAGGAGCAGGATGAGGAGGAGGAGGAGGAGGAGGAGGAGGAGGAGGAGGAGGAGGAGGAGGAGGAGGAGAGGGAGGAGGAGGAGGAGGAGGAGGAGGAGGAGGAGGAGGAGGAGGAGGAGGAGAGGGAGGAGGAGGAGGAGGATGCGGATTCAATTGGACGCATTTCAATTGGACGCACACTTGTCCCCCCCTGCCCCCCCCATGGCAGGGCTCGACTCCCCCGGCTCGACTCGGTTCGATTTCGATGGCGTCCGATTCCGATTCGATTCGATTCGGGATTCTGATTCGGACTCCGAGTTCTTACTGGACGCATATTGGTCCCCCCCATGGCAGGGCTTATTTCGACTCCTCCGGCTCGACTCGGTTCGATGGCTTCCGATTCCGATTCCATTCGATTCAGCATTCCGATTCGGGTTCCGATTTCTTATTGGACGCATATTAGTCTGCCGACTTTCGCGGGTTCGACTTTTCCCGACTCGGCTGCCGATATCCGCCGATCCGACTCATTTTGATCGCCGATCCGATCCGATTGAACGATTTTATTCTGGGCTATCCTACCATGGAGTAGATCTTGGCTGTTTTGGGCGCCTGTTTCAAGCAGGTGGAGTCTCCCCCGTACGACGCATTGTTGAAAGCAGTCGCATGAAGCAGAGGTCCGGAGCCAGACCCCCACCCCTCCCCGCTCCCCCTTCCGCTCGATATTGAAACGCCGAATATGAAAACGCTCTATATTCGTCTCTCGTGGCGACGGCCTGGAGGGAGGAGGAGTGACGTGGCACCACCAGCGCCAGCAGGGCAGCCTCCAGCGAGGAGGTCCACGATACCTGCCAGGAACCGGGGATGGGAGGCGTCTTGGGCGGTCCGCTCCGAAGCGAGGTGGCAGCACCTCCAGCGAGGAGGCGAGGTGACGGCGGCCCTCCGGCGACGCCGACGACAAGGTTTTGGGTGCGTTTCGGTGCATTCTCGGGCCTTCTTGGGCGCCCTCATCGCGACGTTTGGATCCCCAGGCATGCGACGTCTTGATTTTTTCAGGACGGCGTCCTTGGAAGTCCCGAGCCGTTTTTTGGCGGTCCCGAGGCCCGGCGAGGGCCCCCTGGGGCCCCCACGTCCTGATGTTCTTACGACGCGATCGTGTCTGGGTCCGGGCGACATTGCGGCGTCGGCGGGGGCGGCGACGACCGCGTGGGCGCCACGGGGAGAAGGAGGAGGAGGAGGAGGAGGAGGAGGAGGAGGAGCAGGAGGACCAGTGGAAACCCAAGAGTCATCAACGATGTTGGAATTGACCTTCCCTCCCGCACGCAACAGTTTGAAGATCCTGAAGCGTGCCAAAACATTGTTTTCGGGAATTCAGCCAGAACGCCATTTGTGGGACTTCAACACAGCGGATCAACATAACTGTTGCGCCCGCATAATCCTGAATCTTTGCAAAAGTCCATTTCTGATCCGCTAATCATGGAAACCCGTGAAACTCTTGCACATGTTTACAACGATTGTGCGCTGCGCTAAGGCGAGAGCCACATTTTGAAATCCACCCGCCCTCAATCCGTGAAGTTCTTGCAACTTTTTAAGACGAGTGTGCGCGGCGCCAAAGCGAGAGCTAGATTCTGAAAACCATCCGCCCTCAATCCGTGATGCTCGTGCAACTCTTAAAACGAATGTGCGCGGCGCTAAAGCCATAGTCACATTTTGAAAACCACCTGCCCTCAATCCGTGAAGCCCTTGCAACTTTTTACAACGAATGTGCGCGGCGCTAACGCGAGAGCAACATTTTTTTAAACCACCCGCCCTCCATCTTTGAAACAGCTGTCACTTTTGATCTTCAGAGGCATGAGTGGTGAGGAAGTCTCAGCCGAAACGCTCGGCCCGCCCTAGAATCTGGCCTCGGGGTGCGGCAGAGAGGAGTTATCTACAAGGACAAGGAATGGAGGGGGAGAGGGGGAGTGAGGAGGAGGAGGAGGAGGAAGAAACATACAAAGAAGAGGCGGAGGAGGAGAAGGGAGGACGAGGAGGAGGGAGGAGGAGGTGGAGGAAGAGGAGGAGGAGGAGGAAAAAGAAAAATAACAAGAAGAGGGAGAGGAGGAGGAGGAGGGAGGAGGGAGGAGGAGGGGGAGGAGGCTCTTTGAGCGCCACGGGGGTCTCCCCGTCGGCGGGGCGCCGCGGCCGCCGCGCTGGCGTGCTGGTGCTGCCTGCAGCTGGCGTTCCTGCCGCGGGGGGCTGCCTTCCTGCCGCGGCCCCTCGCCGGTCGTCGTCGTCGTCGTATTCGTCGTCGTCGTCGTCGTCGTATTCGTCGTCGTATTCGTTGTCGTCGTCGTCGTATACGTCGTCGTCGTCGTCGTATTCGTTGTCGTCGTCGTCGTCGTCTCGTCGTCTTCCCGTTTGGGTTGCCGTCGTCGTCGTCGTCGTCGTCGTCGTCGTTAACCTCGTCATCGTCGTCGTGGTGTCGTCCTTGTTTTCTCGTCGGGGTTGCCGTCGTCGTCGTCGTCGCCGTCGTCCCGTCGGAACTGCCGTCGCCTTCGTCATGGAAATCGCCTGGGGACCAAGCATAGCCCTTGTTTTGTTATTCGTTTCGTTTGTCGGTGTTGTTATTGTGACCGCTTGTGTTGTTAGATCGTTTGGCGCGCGTTTCGTTGTTCGGTTTGTCTGGTTGCGATTCTAAGGCGGTGTTTTGTTGTTCGTTTTGTAAGCTCCGTTCAATGCGCGTTTCGTTTCGTTGTCTGGTGTGTGTGTGTGTGTGTGTTCGCCCGTTGCTGTTTTATGTGTTTGTGTATTGGTCGTGCTTGATAGGAAAACATGTTTCGCTTGACGCTTCGTTCCGTGGTTCGTTGTGTAGTTGTTGTTGTCGTTGTTATTGTTGTAGTTGTTGGTGTTGTTGCTGTTGTTATTGTTGTTGTTGTTCTTGTTGTTGTTGTTGTTGTTGTTTTTGTTAGTCTTATTGTTTTTTTGTTGGTGTTATTGTTCGTGTTGGTGCTGGTGGTGTTACTGCTGTTGTTGTTGCTGTTGTCGTTGTTGCTGTTGTTGTACTTTCACTTCTGGGAATCATTTTCTGTTGATTTCCCCTCTGGTAATGTATGTTTTTTGTTGTTGTGCAATTTTACCTCCTGGGGCTCTCACCCTGTTTTCCATTGGGGAACGGATTCGTGCTCAAACTGCGCCGCTGGCCCCCCGCACTACATTAACAACGGCTCCCGCCTGATACTTCCTCGCCAGAGATTGAAGAGTCGCGCTCTCGCGCGGGAATTCCTCACAGTTTATGTACGAATGGCATTCTCGCTTGGGACGCCCTCGCAATTTATTCAGACGATGCGTCCTCGGCGCTCAGGAATAATGCTCTCGCTTTGGGCCTTCGCAGGATTTATTTGGGATTCGCGTTATCGCTCGAGACTTCCTCGCGATTCATACAGGACCCACGCTTCAGCAACCCGCCTGCTCGACCTGGTCGCCTGGGCCCGCCTTCCCGACCTACCCGCTATGGGTCTGTCCACCCGATCTGCCCGTCTGGGTCTACCACTTGTTTGCTGCTCCTTGCCCCCATCCTGCTAATTTCTCTCGTGCTCCATTCTTCTCCCTCCCCCTTCCACCCGTCCCCTCTTTCCCTGCTTTAGGAGCTGCACTAAAATGCACGTGGCAGGTAAGGAAGGTATACCCAAAGGGGGTGCGATCGAAGACGATGAGGGCGGGTGCCAAGCGTTTGGGATATACGCAGTGATTGGCACGTGAGCAGGTAGTTGCGAACAGCCTTGAAATGAGTGGTGTTGCTGCTATTGTTGTTGTTGTTGCTGCTGTTATTCTTCTTATGCGTTTTCGGTGGCCTGAGGCCCAGCCATAATTTCGTCCCCAGCCTTAGCCATAGCTTTCAGGCGTTCGTTTCATTGTTCGTTTGTTTTCTATTACTGTTCCCGATCATCTCTTGCAATCCTGGCCTGAGCTTCAGTCTGGGCCCCAGCCTCTGTAGCCCCAGCCATATTTCTGGGCGTTCGATTCGTTTAGTTGTTCGTTTCTGCTCTCCTGCCAAAGCCTTAGTTAAAGTCTCGCCCCTCGCCCTTGCCCTAGTTTCTCGGCGCTCGTTTCGTGCTTCGTATCGTTGTTTCCTCCCCCGTTTTTCTTGTTCTGCTCCTGGCCTGAGCTTCGGCCCGTGCCCCACCCAGTTTCTGCTGGAGCCCCAGCCCCAGATGGGTTTTTCTTTTAAAAAAGAAATGGCATTCTTTTTGTAGAATAAAATGATAAATGGTAGTTGTTTTGTTTTTGTTCGTTGTCGATTTGGTTTTCGGGTGGCACGTCAACAACTTGATCTCACCTAAAAGCGGGATCTGGTCAACGACTGCATCTGGCAAACAGTAGGACCTGTCGAAGGTGGATAGACCTCCTACCCTGACACGCCGATCAAGGAATTGGCCGTTCTCGATTCGCGAGGGCGCGTCGCGGCCGTCATTTTTGCGGGTCCAGGTCCGTCGGTTTCGGCCCCAGGCCGTTTTCACGGAGGGGAGGTTTACTGACGGGAGGTTTGTCCACCGCCGACTCGTTTTCTTATTCCCGGTTTTGCCGATCGGCGCGGGCTCGTGCACCCCCCCCACCTCCCCCCCCCCCCCGTGGACTGGGTGTTCACGAAGGGGAGGTCTGCTGCGAGGGGAGGTGTGTCCACCGCCGGACCCGGGCGCTTATGCCCGCCCAGGCGGGGAGCAGGGCTAGAGGCGGATTCGGACGTCTCGGGCCGCCGCCCCTCGCCCCCGCCCCCCCCCGGCCCTGCAGGAGGAGGGAGGGAGGGAGGGAGGGAGGGAGGGAGGGAGGGAGGGAGGGAGGGAGGGAGGGAGGAGGAGGAGGAGGAGGAGGAGGGAGGAGGAGGAGGAGGAGGAGGAGGAGGAGGAGGAGGAGGGGGAGGAAGCGGAGGAAGCGGAGGAGGAGGAGGAGGAGGATGTGGGCACCTCGGGCCAGGGAGGCCGCCGTAGCCCTGGCTCGGTCGTCGCGTCGTGTTTCCTGTGTTGTTGTTCGTCGTTTTCGGTTCGGTGCAGGCCCCAGCCAGGGCCGTGCTACAGTCGGGGCGCTGAAGAAGGAGCCCTTTTCGTTGAGGAGGGGCTCCGCGTTCCTCGATTACTTCACAGTTTGCAATCGGTTTTCCATAGATTTTCGATGGGAAATCGAAGTTCAACTTATGGCAAAAGGGACCTCGTTCCTTATTTAGGTTTCCTTAAGTCAACGCCCCGACTGTACTCGCCTTCGCCCCTGCCCCAAGCCCCAGCCAAAGCTGCCCTGGCCTCAGCCATTGTTCCGTGTCTTGATTCCGTGGTGCGTTCTGTTTTCAGCGTCGTCTGCGATTTTCTCGTTTCGCAGTTCGTTTTGTTTTCTCGCTGAAGGCCGGCATCGCTTCGTTGTTTGTTTTCGTTTGGCACCGGTTCCGTTGATTTCGTTATCTTTTTCGTGCGCTAGTTTACGCTCGACATTGCTTATCCTTTCGTGATGAGAGCCACGGCGTTTTGAACATCGTTGTCCTCGGTCGCTGAAGTCGTCTCGCCGGCGTTGTCGTCATCGACGTCGTCGTCATCGTCGTCGTCGACGTCGTTGTCCTCATCCTTGTCTTCGTCCTCGTCGTCGTCGTCGTCCCCGAACTCGTCCTAGACCTCGCCTTTTCGTCGTCTCTTCGGCGTTGTCGTCGTCGTCGTCGTCGGACGTCATCGATGTCCTCGTGCTCCCCCACGTGCCTCCGTCTACCCCTACGCTCTAGTCGTCCTCCTGTTCTCTTCTTGCTCGTTGTCCTCCTGCCTCTCCCCTGCCCAGACATTATCGGATGTCTTCGTATGGTCCCTTCTGACTGGCCGTCCTCCCCGCCACCTCTCTTTACCTTCTCGCCCCTCTCCCCTCCCCCCCTCCGCCCCCCGTCCTTCCTTTCGCCGCCCCGTGCCGAGGCCAGCGCATCTGCTGCGGCCCCCCGCCGCTGCACCTTCGGCAGGTTGTTGTCGTCGTCGTTGCTGTCCTCGGCCGGCAGGTCGTCGTCGTCGTCCTCCTCGTGGCTCCATCGTCGCCGTTGCCATTCTCGTCGCCGTCGCTCGTTGTCGCCGCCATCCCTCGTTGGCGCTGTCGTCGTCTGCATCGGATGTGGGGATGGTCGTCGTGGGCATTGTTGACGTCAGAGGAGGAGCAGGAGGAGGAGGAGGAAAGGGAGGAGGAGGAGGAGGAAGAACAGGAGGAGGAGGAGGAGGAGGAGGAGGAAGAGGAAGAGTAAGAGGAGGAGGAAGAGCAGGACGAGTGTCATGAGTGTGGTGTGTCCCGAGAGGGCAGGTCGCATGACGACGAGGCTCCGCCGTCTGCCAGGGTGGGTGGGGGGGGGAGCGGCTCGAGAGAGGCTGACGGTGTGCGCTGGACCGAGGGCAACATATGAGGCGGATACGGGGGCAAGTTGTTTTCAGGCGGCGGAGGAGGAGGAGAGGGATGAGGATGGGAGGAGGAGGAGGAGGAGGAGAAGGAGGAGGAGGAGGAGGAGTAAGAGAAGGAGGAGGAGGAGGAGTAGAATGAGGAGGAGGTGTAGGAGGAGGAGGAGGAGGAGAAGAAGAAGAAGGAGGAGGAGGAGGAGGAGAACGAGGAAGAGGAGGAGGAGGAATGGCCAGGACGAGGACGAGGGCGGGGACGAGGGAGACGATGATGCTGCTGCTGATCAGGATGAGGATGATGAATATGCTGCTGCTGATGATGGCGATGCTGATGATGATGACGATTACGATGCTGATGATGCTGGTGATGATGTCGATGCTGATGCTGATGCTTATGATTATAATGACAATGATACTGATGGTGGTGATGATGCTGATGGTAGTGATGCTCATGATCCTGATCATGATGATGCTGATGCTAACACTGGCGATGACGATGACCACGATGTTGATGCTGATGCTGCTGGTGATGATGATGATGATGATGATGATGCTGGTGATGCTGATGCTGATGATAATGGTGATGGAAGTAAGGATGACCATTGTGATGGTGATACAGGCGATGCTCATGATGATGATGATGATGATGATGATGATGATGATGATGATGATGATGATGATGATGATGATGATGATGATGATGATGATGATGATGATGATGCTAATGATGATGGTGATGGTGATTCTTATTCTGAGGATGCTAACTTTAGGTTCGGCAATTATCCTACAGGAGGTCCATCGAGAGAACCAGCCGAACTCTTCGGAACATCTTCAGCCGGAAACTCAACCTCCCCAAGAACTTCAGTATTCCGGCAACGCAACCTAACGGCGATGTGTAGGAGCATATTTGGAAGCATTCTCTTACGATTCAGATGAACATCCAGTTGTAGAATCCTGCTGTGCTCGCAGTCGTAGTCGCATTCGCGATGACAGTCGCAGTGGCAACGGCAGTCGCAGTCACAGCCTCAGCCTCAGCCTGCCTCAGCCTCAGCCTCAGCCAGCCTCAGCCTCAGCCTGCCTCAGCCTCAGCCTCAGCCTGCTTCAGCCTCAGCATCAATCTGCCTTCAGCCTCGGCCTCAGCCTCAGCCAGCCTCAGCCTCACCCTGCATCAGCTTCAGCCTCAGCCTTAGCCTGCCTCAGCCTCAGCCTGCCTCAGCCTCAGCCTCAGCCTGCCTCTGCCTCAGCCTCAGCCTGCTTCAGCCTCAGCCTCCGTCTGTTTTCAGCCTCGGCCTCAGCCTCAGCCTGCCTCAGCCTCAGCCCGCATCAGCCTCAGCCTCAGCCTCAGCCTGCCTCAGCCTCAACCTCAGCCTCAGCCTGCCTCAGCCTCAGCCTGCCTTCGCCTCAGCCTCAGCCTCAGCCTGTTTCAGCCTCAGCCTCAGTCTGCCTGCAGCCTCGGCCTCAGCCTCAGCCTGCCTCAGCCTGAGCCTGCCTCAGCCTCAGCCCCGGCCTCAGCCTGCCTCAGCCTCAGTCTCAGCCTGTCTCAGCCTCAGCCTCAGTCTGCCTTCAGCCTCGGCCTCAGCTTCAGCCTGCCTCAGCCTCAGCCTGCATCAGCCTCAGCCTCAGGCTCAGCCTGCCTCAGCATCAGCCTGCCTCAGCCTCAGTCTCAGCCTGCCTCAGCCTCAGCCTCAGCCTGCTTCAGCCTCAGCATCAGTCTGCCCTTAGCCTCGGCCTCAGCCTCCGCCTGCCTCAGCCTCAGCCCGCATCAGCCTCAGTCTCAGGTCTCAGCCTGCCTCAGTTTTAGCCTGCCTCAGCCTTAGCCTCAGCCTGCCTCAGCCTCTGCCTCAGCCTGCTTCAGCCTCAGCCTCAGTCTGCCTTTAGCCTCGGCCTCAGCCTCAGGCTGCCTCAGCCTCAGCCCGCATCAGCCTCAGCCTCAGCCTCAGCCTGCCTCAGCCTCAGCCTCAGTCTGCCTCTGCCGCAGCCTCAGCCTGCTCCAGCCTCAGCCTCAGTCTGCCTTCAACCTCGGCCTCAGCCTCAGGCTGCCTCAGCCTCAGCCTGCATCAGCCTCAGCCTCAGCCTCAGCCTGCCTCAGCCTCAGCCTCAGCCTGCCTCTGCCGCAGCCTCAGCCTGCTTCAGCCTCAGCCTCAGTCTGCCTTCAGCCTCGCCTCAGCCTCAGCCTGCCTCAGCCTGCCTCAGCCTCAGCCTCAGCCTCAGCCTCAGCCTCTGCCTCAGCCTGCTCAGCCTCAGCCTCAGCCTCAGCCTCAGCTCAGCCTGCCTCAGCCTCAGCCTCAGCCTGCCTCAGCCTCAGCCTGCTTCAGCCTCAGCCTCAGTCTGCCTTCAGCCTCGGCCTCAGCCTCAGCCTCGGCCTCAGCATCAGCCTGCTCAGCCTCAGCCTCAGCCTGCTCAGCCTCAGCCTCAGCCTGCTTCAGCCTCAGCCTCAGCCTCAGCCTGCCTCAGCCTCAGCCTGCTCAGCCTCAGCCTCAGCCTCAGCCTCAGCCTCAGCCTCAGCCTCAGCCTCAGCCTCAGCCTGCCTCAGCCTCAGCCTGCCTCAGCCTCAGCCTCAGCCTCAGCCTGCCTCAGCATCAGCCTGCCTCAGCCTCAGCCTCAGCCTGCCTCAGCCTCAGCCTCAGCCTGCTTCAGCCTCAGCCTCAGTCTGCCTTCAGCCTCGGCCTCAGCCTCAGCCTGCCTCAGTCTCAGCCTGCCTCAGCCTCAGCCTCAGCCTGCCTCAGCATTCAAAATGCGGCCCGGGAATGGAGTTCTGGGAACTCGAAGACCACGAAGTGGCCTACAGTTGGCTCCGGGCATTCAAAATCATTCCCAGGAGTGGAGTTCTGGGAACTCGAAGACCACGAAGTGGCCTACAGCTGGTTCCGGGCATTCAAGATCATGCCCAGGAATGGAGTTCTGGGAACTCGAAGAACACGAAGTGGCCTGCAGTTGGCTCCGGGCATTCAAAATCATGCCCAGGAATGGACTTCTGGGAACTCGAAGACCACGAAGTGCGTTACTGTTGGCAAGAAAATCCCCGGCATCCTCCCCCGGATCGCGCCAAGACGCCCAGGGGCGTCACTTCAAGGGTAGCTCTTTGAGAGATGTTATAGATAATCGGGAGTATAGCCTGCGCGTCGCTGTCTTATGGCTCAAGGCACGCGCGCCCTATTTGCCCGGATACCTGACTTGGTATTCGTTATATGCTGGAAAGATCTTTACATCGATCTTATCCTATGTTACTCATCCACTCCCCATATTGTATTCCTTCGACATGGAATTTGATGCAATATGACCTACCAGAGTCATTTCAGACTTGGTAGCGGAGCTGGCCGCACTCTCGCGTGGTCAGCTCTTGCTCTTCTTATCCTCACGCTCCCCGGCACGATCCTCGTGGCCAATCTTTACCCTGCGCCACCACTCCACCGACATTTACGAGGATCAATTCAAGAGCAAGAAGCAACACGAGAGGTACGACGTCTAGACAACAACATTGGTACCATATACGCTTCATCACTACGCTACTACCAACCGCTCGGCAACGAGCCAAAAGCGCAGCACTTGAAGCGTAGGCGGGGAAACCCGCAAGATAAAGCGCCTCGTAGACTTGACAAGGCGCTACAAGCCCTGCCCCAGCGCGGCAACGCGCCCGATAACCACCCATACCTCCACAGCTTAGGGTTGGTTATCTTCGCCATTATCTGGTTTGCGCTGGGAGCGGCAATCGGACGCATGCGCCGAGGATATAATAGCACCGATGGGCAAACACATGGCCCATGCTGGGACCCCCGAGGCAACGTGCCCTTTCGCGAGTGCGTCTACGAGGTCGACGCGTGGCTTAACGTCACGAGTGGAAGCATGGCGCCACAAGCCCAAGCAGCCGCCATGCAACGCGGCCTGGGCGGCCTAGCGAGGACACTCGCCATGAGGGTACCACCTGACATCATAAACAATGGTGCGGACATCGACGGTGTCCACACCAACCCAGTAACATACATTAGGTTCCTCCTAAGCATGAAGTGGAAGATGAGCGCCAGCTCACCTCAGGCACTCACTTCATCGACTTACGGAGGACGAATCGACGCAACCCTTACTCGGTTCGAAACGGCCCGTCTTGAGGCACAATCGGTGGGCTTTGACCTCCCCAACTTCCAACTGCTCACGACTATCCTAGTCCGCGCCCTAGGCGTTGGTAACCAGCGAGCCGTGCAACTCTTACAACCACCCAACCACCAAATGCCCCGAACACAACAACAGCATGAATAACTGTGTGAGAGGATGCGCTCGATAGGCCATCTGTCAGAACGGCCTTCTGGCAACATGCGATCAGTGTTTGGAAGGGGAGTGGTAACAGCAGGGGATCGATCACAACCAAGCTGGGCAACCAGCCCTCCTCCTATAGAACCTCAGCCTCACCGCTCTCTATGGGGAGTAGCGACCCCCCTAAGCGACGGCGTGGCCACCTACCTGGGTAACGACGATTTTGACTCAGGCACCGACACCGACACGGTATCATCAGATGGCATCGAACCATTAGACTGGTCAGATATCATGCGAATGGAAGGTGGTTATCAGCGTGGAGGGGGATACGGAGGAC